ATTTTAAGTGCCAATTCTGACATTTTTTCTGAGTTGTGTCACATGGAGAAAGAGAAAATAAATCTTTCAGTGCATTTGTTAAAGTGCCTTTCATTTCAAGGCAGATAAGACAGTAGCAATAGATGAAATGTATGTGTCCATTACAGTAATAATTATGTAAAACTTATCATTTATGCCTACCTTCACAGAATCTCTATGGAACAATACAATTTAACAAAAATGCCATAATGAACAAGTATAATTTATTATAAGCTTCTGCAGATCGCTTTCACTCAGGATGCAACTGAAATCAACCACTTGGTAAGAAATAAGTTGCTGTTAAATGAATTGTTTTGTTGGAAGTCTTCTTACTAATGTTTTAAGTAAAGTTATTGAAAACAGACATGCATAGTGGTTCCTGTGTTTGATGACAACTCTGGAGACCAGGGTTCAAATCCATACTCAGCTATGAAAGCTCACTGGGTGACCTTGGCCAAATCACACTCTCCTGGCCTTCAGAAGAAGGCAAAGGCAAACTGACTGTGAAGAAATCTTGCCAAGAAAACCTCATGATAGATTCACTTTTACATTGCCATAAGTCATAGATGTCTTGAGGGCACATAACAATAAAAAGCTCTTAAAACAGTCTGAACTGAAATAAACATTCTGGGATGTGACAAAAAATTCAATCAAATCTATAAGTGTATAGCTTGAAAAACAAGAATAACTTTAACAAGCCCTATATACTATCTTCCAAGACATCAGGATAGTATGGAACTGAACTCAGACTTGTTCACTAAAATAGCCATCGCTAAGTATAGGGTGAGGCAGTATAACTTCCTTTTTTCAAAACTTAATAAAACCCATTGTATGAATCAGATTTTTTTAATATAATGTAGGCGCATACCTAAAGTTTTGTTTTACGTAGTTTTGAAGATCAAATTAGGTAGGTGACGTCCCCTATTCTCCATTCACTGAGTAAACCGATTTCTGGTGTTTGTCATGACTCTTGCCAGCATATCAGGCGTTATGTTGGCAATTTCTTCCTGGATGTTGGTCTTCAAATCTTGTAGGGTCCTTGGACGGTTCACATAAACACAGGACTTCAAAAAAAAAACCCCATAGAAAAAAAATCACAAGGGGCCAAATCTGGAAAGCGGGCTGGCCATTCCAAAGCCGCTCGAAAAGTAGGCCTCAATGGCAAAAGCACGCTCCTCACTGATCCAATGCATGATGGCGACTGAGCTGTGTCAGGACAAAACTTTATACTCTCGCCTCCTGAACGAGACCACTAGTGCTCCATTACGTCTTCAACTGACTGAATGGCGCGCATTTTAAAAAAGGAAGTTATGCTGCCTCACCCTGTAGAACAGAATGTGAGTACAACTGAATGCTCCGAATGTTATTTTGTGCCATTGGCTCAAGACTAGTTAAAGAGAAAAACTTGAGAAAAAAGCTTAAACTTTAAATGTTTATAAAATTATCATTCCCTGTCCACTAAACTACAAGTAATAGGGTTGTAGAAGAGGAAAACCTATGTTGTTGTAGTAGTAGTGTGCCTTCAAGTTGTTTCTGACATATGGTGACCCTAAAGTACATTTATCACAGGTTCAGAGGAGTTTTGCCTTTGTCCCTTTCGGAGGATGGGAGAGTGTGACTTCCAGAAGATTTCACTGATTGCAACCATTCGTGATCGTTTTGCAAATGTACCAATTTCACAAACCAATATTGTAGGATATTATAATGGCATTTAAACATAAAACAACCCAATTCTTTAGAAATTCTTCCTCATAATAATACATTTATCTTCACTCCAAACCTCAGAACATCACAAATATGTAGACTTAAGCCTTATTTTAAATCAACATAATCAAATAATCAAATTGCGCATGTGTGTGTGTGTATGTATGTATGTGTGTATATACATATATGTATTTTGCACTTTTCTCAACTTTAAAATTTGTCTACTTCTATCATTGCCACAACTGAAAACAGAGAAAATATGTTTTGTTCCATAAATGCTGAAACACTTCATGTGATATTAAACATTTCATGATAAAATGCACATCTTGGAAATGAAAGCCAACATCACTTAGGAAATGAACTGCATGTTTCAGTGCTTTCTTTGCAATAACCTTTATTACAAAGAACAGTTTGCCCTGGGTTATTCAACAAAACTAGTGATGCAACTGCTTGCATGTGTAAGTTGCTATGGAAGCTCTAAGGATGTAGGATTAATTGGCAGTGACAAGCTATTCAGTTGTAATAATCTATCTCAAGAGCTTTAAAATTAATTAAACTGAAAGCTCAAAATATTATTTTACCGTTAAAAACTTTGGTTACTAAACACTGGATATTCATTTTAACAAAGACATGTGATTTAAAATCTAATGGGAAAATATTCAAGTGCCTGACCTCAAATGTTGGCAATTTAAAAAAAAAAACTATATAGAGACTTGTATAGAATTAATTTTCTATCTTATTACAAAGAAGTATTTTAAAGGAAAACATAGAACACTGGTTTATAATGGAAAACCTTGATAAAATAAGATACATTTAAACTTTATCAGAGCACAGAATTTCAAAACTTAATGAGAAAAGAAAAACCAGTTTTACTTCTAATATTGAAGCAAGCTGTATTTTTGAAATAATGAAGCAGGCAGGAGGTGGAGTCACTGCCAGCATCTTTCTCCTGCTACAAGAAGCAGATTTGGATGCCAGGAAGTTGCTGCAGCCACAGTAGGAACAGCAATGGGTAGGCAATTGCCATGTGAAAATTTGCCAGATAATGTACAAATTACGAGACATCCAAGATGTACAGGCTTCAGTTACAAGGAATAATTCAATCTTATTTGCTATATAACCGTCCACTGCTATATAACCGTCCACTGCTAAAATCAAAAGGCACCCATTGATATGGCTGAAATCAATCCATGCTGTATTAATAAAATAAAGATGCAATTTAAAATAAAAATGACAAAATAGAGGAATGGTGACTGCAGTACGAGAAAAATGTTGCCTGAATATAATACTTGTCCTTTCTTTATATTAGAATAGGTAAATTACTAAATGTATTAGTAGGTTTACTTCTGCTTGGAACAATTTACCTTTCTCTTTCACTATGCAATACAGAATGTGAACTTCATTTCAGTCCAGGGCTACTCTGCATCCTTGTTAGATGTGGGGAACTGAATAATGTCTTCCTTAATATTAGAGGTCTTAGAGAAAATTTCTGAATATCAAGTTTTTTGTGTTTTTTTAATTGTATAATACATAGAAACATACCATATCAAGTATATATAAACACGGTCACATTCTTTTAGCTCATAGGAATTACTATGTTTTAATCTAATGCTTATAATCTTATTGTTGATTTTGTTATTTGGTTATGCTGTATTTTTATATGTTACACTGATTGGATGTGTTGTTAATTGTTTATTTCATTGTATGTATTTTACTGTGCTGCACTTTATTATGTTATTTATGTTGTAAGCAGCCCTGAGTCCCTTGGGGAGAAGGGGTGGGATAGAAATAAACTATTATGATTATGATAATGATTATTATTATTGCCCACACAATAGAACAAATTAAGGAACTATTTAGTCACAGAGTCAACTGGAATGTACAAAAAGTAGATAACTACCAAAGACTAATAATTGCTGCTCTGAATTGTCATAAATAGTAAGTGTGAACAGTATTGGTGAGAAGAAATTGGTAAAAAAATAGTGTCCCCGATTGACATACAATTGGACAATAAATGCACACTTCAAATGATGTGTGTTGACAAGGAAATGAAAGGGAGAACAATCAGGACAATATGTCCGTTGCGTCATCTTTATTAAAGGAAATAGCAGTGTGGGATAAAGGAATGCTCAAGCAAGGTAGTGAAAAATAGAGGCAGGGTGGTTGTATCAAGAAAGCAAAGTTGCCTGAATATAATACTTGCCATTTCTTTTTATTAGAATAGGTAAATTACTAAATGTATCAGAAAGTTTATCTCTGCTTAGCACAGTTTACCATTCTCTTTCACTATACAATGCAGAATGTGAATTGCATTTCAGTCCAGTGCTACTCTGCATCCTTGTCAGATGTGGAGAGCTGAACATTGTCTTCCTTAATATTTTATTTATTTGTTCGTTTATTTATTTATTTAGTTTTGGTATTTCTATCCCACCTTTCTCAAGCCCAAAGGCGACTCAAGGCGGCTTACATATTGGCAGCAATTCGATGCCACAACAGTCCACAATATATAGTTAAAACATTTATAACAACATTATCAAATCCATATAAAAACAATTAAAAACATATAATAACCAATGTCTTCCTGTTAATCTCATTTCAGTAGCATCATTTAAGCTGTTCCATGTTTCAATCTTACATAATTCCATATTTGTCTATTGCACTGCATTTCCGAAAGCTTGTTCAAAGAGCCAGGTTTTTCCCTTTTTTTGGAAGGTCAGGAGGGAGGGGGCCGATCTAATATCCCTAGGGAGGGAGTTCCACAATATTAGAGGTCTTAGAGAAAATTTCTGAATGTCAAGAATACATAAACATGGTCAGATTCTGATTTACTCTGTACACCACTGAGGTGCTTCTGAAGGTTGGGTGCATGAAGAAGTAGCAAAATTAAAGAGAGAACACAATTCAACAGGCATTGTGGGAGAACACCCAATCAGTACAATGTGTGGAATGCCTATTGACAGATGGACAATTAAGAACAGCCCAATCTGTTTCTCTGTCTGTGACCTTTAGGGAAATTTCTTTTACATCTTTGATAAGTTTTTTTAAAAAAACAAACAAGCAAGACAAAGGGATGGTGCTAATCTGCATAATTCATCACTGCCCTTTTTTGAGACTGCAAGAGGGATTTGTAAGTGTAAGGACAGCATCAAAAATACATAAATATAGAATAAAAATAGGCAAAACCTTTATAATTTTCCTGTAATTGTTTTTTATCCTTTAAAATGTTTTTTCTTCTTCAAGTGGCTAGACATTCATGCCCAAGGCAAATGACTACTCACTGTGAACAAGGAAGCAAAAATCTTTCCACATCAGCAACAAGGTGAGTTTTGTAAAACCTTCGGCATCATATTCTACCACACCGCTATTTGTAAAAAAAGATATAAATTATTAATACTGAAGCATATAACTGAATTAGAATATAATCACAGATCAGATAGTATGTACCTGCCATCTGGTCAATGCATATCTACAAGTAGCACATCATCACAGGACCTAATGTTGTGCATTCTTTCTTTTTCCATTTATTTCACATGTACCAGAGGAGAAAACTGAAAGTTAGGCATGTGTGGTATCAAGCTCCCAGATATAAATGCAACAGGTTTGCTCTTTAAGCTCTATTATGCTCTGTGAGGGGACTCTCCCGCACATATACCTCTCTGATTGCACACAGAGGGTACCTGCTCAATATTTATACTTGTTTTGATACCAGTAGGTACCTACAAAGTCAGGTGATAATACACAGAATAAATATGTAATCTTCAAAAGAAATTGAAAAGAGATAATCAAACACAGCAATTCTTAATGTTGAGATTTGAATTATGCTATTGTTGTTGGTTTTGATGCTTGTTTTTAATATTGTTATAATGTTGTTTTTATTTTTCCCCAAATTGATGTTATGCATTTTAATGTGTTACGTTTCACTCTGTTGATTGGGCTTGGCCCCATGTAAGCTGTTCTGGGCCCCTTCGGTGAGATGGAGGCAGGGTATAAAAATAAAGTTATTAATATTATATTATCTATAATAATAATAATAATAATAATAATAATAATAATAATCTGCATAATTATAACTGAGTATGCTTTCTGACAACCTGTGTGAAGAAGTGTTCAACTGGGATTTCAGGAATCAGGAGTCCAAATCCCTGCTCAACCATGTAAACTGCTGGGTTACCTTGGAGAAATCATACTCTCACAACATTAGAGGCAAGAAATGGCAAATCTCTCCTAAACAAATCCTGCCAAGAAAACCCCTCAATAGTTTTCCTCAGGGTTACCATAATCTGGAAATGATGTGAAGGCACCCAACATACATGTATACAGGCTGTTTGGAGCATAAATATTATGTTATTTAACTGTTCTCTGTGGTGGTGGGAAGTAGTTCTACTTACACAAAGTGGAGCATGCAATTTTTTTTACATCATGTTCACTTTATATATCTTCCTTGCTTCTCTAAAACTTGTTCTAGAGTACTGAGGGGCCTTCTAGAATCATGGGTGTTTTCCCAAGTACACGAGAAAAGCAAAGATCAGACCTCTTACAATCTACAAGGTGAAACACTTTCTGCTAGTGTAAAGCTACCACTGGTTAAAATTTATTTGAAAAATTTATCTGAAAAACAATCAAATGAATTTGCGTGAAGAAATCTGGTCTAGAAAAATAAAATGTGTATACTCGAATGACTACAGGGAGAATTGGTACAAGCTATTCTTTAGATGGTACCTTACTCCAATACAATTGGCCAAATTTAGTAGAGGGAAGTTGGGGAGCAGATGTTGGAAATGTAAAAGAACTACTGGAACTTTCTGGCATATGTGGTGGGGGTGTAAAAAGGTGAACGCCTTTTGGCGAGCAATTCACAAAGAATCTGAAAAGATATTAAAATAGAAATTCCCCTTAAAACCCGAGTATTTTCTGTTGGGAATAACTGATTCAGAAATGGACAGCAATGACAGTAAGATCCTTTTCCACCTCTCGACAGCGGCCAGAATCCAACTGGCCCGTTGCTGGAAATCTCGAGAGATCCCTACAATTGAACAATGGACTTTAAAGATATATGATGTAATGAATATGGACCTCTTGACTCAGAGACTATCAGTTAATGGAGAGAAGAAGAAGCACACAGATTGGAACAACTTTTTGGAGTACCTGGATAAAGAAAGATAAATCTTACAACCAACTTAAGCGGCAGCCTGTCAATGTATTAGAATAGAATCTGATAAGTAGGTTATCAGTTACAATATGTGTTTATAAGAATAACTATCTGTCTGCTCAACCTGGAAGTACTTGTAAACCCACCCCTTCCCTATTGTGTCTTGTTTTAATGGTCACACCCCTCCCCCCATCCTCCCCTCCTTCCCTTCGACGTCTTAATCCCCATTTCCCCCCTTCCCTTTCCTCCCTTCCTACACACTCCTTCACACACACACCCCCTCCCCAATCCTTAACCCTTATGTTTCCCAATGTTTTTCTAGTGTTTTTTAATAATTGTATGAAACTGGCAATAAAGTTTATAAAAAAGAAAAAGAAAAACAATCAAATGAATCTCACCAGGCTAAGTTCTCTTCTAGGTTTTTATTATGTGTTCCATCTCAATACAAATCAACTTGAGCATATCCTTGTAGTGAAACATTTGATAGTTTGAGAGCAAAGGAAGCATGATATTATTTAGTAGTTTGCAATTGGGTGATTGCTTTTTAAAAAACCCAATAGAAGTTGTAAGCTCATTCTGAACTTGATTATAATGAGAGACAAATCTGAGAATGCCTGCCATAGATGTGGGTGAAACATCAGGCAAGAATGCTTCTGAAACATGGCCATACAGCCCGGAAAATTCACAACAACCGAATTCCAGAAACGTAAGCCCAGAATTGGACAGTTGTAATAGGAAGGGACAGGGGACAGGCTTTTCCTCATTTCAGTTACAATCACTATCTTCCCCCAAAGAGATGGCTATTAGTGCTTGAAGAAACCTACCATTGCTATCCCCACCAAGTTTAGGCTTCTACAGAGTCTGAACGGATATTATATGCAACACTACTGATTTCCACTTGAATCCTAGGTTCAACTTTTAAAATTGGAAGAGTTCCTTTAATTCATAGGAGAATTTTGATCTAACAAAGGTATTTGCCAGTCAGAATGATATGCAACTTCCTCCCAATTCTCTTTTTGCAATGACTTCCTCACTGTAGCACCTTCTTCAGATGATACAGAAGATGCTAGAATTGGTGATAATCACCTGCTTCCATTCCTTGTCAGCCTTTCTTGTGTTGTTAAGGAAGCAGTGCAAAGGGCTAACAAGGGCTGCAATTCTAAATATGCACACTTTGAACAACCAGTACTTGTACTGTTCATAAACACAGACAGGATTAGTAGCTGGCTAGGGTATGAAAGAAACTTATTTTGGTTGTATCCCATTAAAAAAAGTGAAAGATAAATACTTACGTTCCAAAATGACTGAGAAAGGCTGCAATATATTCTCTTCTTTTGTGGTAACCCTGAATAACATACTGTACCTACATCAGAAAGTAAGGGAAAAAACAGTGATGATATGATAAAGATAAATGAAAGTACCATTTTTTTATAGCTGTTTTACTTGGAAATGGTCATTTTCCCATCTTTATCCCATAATGCACACATTTTCAATGTACACCGCTGAAGAGGTTGTAGAGAACTGTTTTAACACTCCTCAGCAACAAAACAAAAAAAATATCAGTGAGTAAAATCACTCACATAAGAACTACTCAGTATACTTATTACCCTATTTATCAATAGATGTATTAATACTTAAGATGCTGTAAATGTGTTGGTTTTTTTACAACAGATTAACATACTATCTTCTGGAACTGAACAGTGTTAGCTAGATACGAAATAACCTACAATAGAAGCCCGAAAGTTACAAAACATTGTGAAACACATCAAAGAAAAAATGTTATACTTATTCCACTTTGCTGATATTTCCTTTGCCAATACTGAAGTGCTTAGGCTAGAGAAATGTGCCTGCCTTCCAAATGGAAGGCAGGCACAATGCCACAAAACACTGAGTTATAGAAGTACTTGAGAGATGTTGTTCTTTGTGTATATTCTGGACCATATAATTCCTCATTATTGTGTGAGAATGGTAACTTTCTACAACCTCTTACAGGATGAAAGAAAATGTATATGTTGTTTATATTGGCTGTGTTAATGTTGGATTACCTTGACTGGCAAACAGCTGTGCTAAATTACTTGACATAACTATGATACAATCAGTGCTAAGAGCTATGTTACACCCTCTCAAAAATAAAATAATTCTATTTATAAAATTGGATTCATTACAGTTTATACCGAGATGCTTATTTTGAATGCTTTGAGTGGGATCAAAAATATTACTCTGGAAATAGAAAAAAACAGATTAGGTAGGGTTTTTTTTTAAAAAAGAAAAGGTTAAAAGCAGGCTTATGTACTTGAAAACAATATAAAAAAACCTTCAACGGGCAGCTACAACAAAAACAGCTTAGAATAATTATAGAAATGCATTTGAAATAATGTTTTATAAAATGGAGCTTTCAAAGCTTCCTTTAAATGAGAATGTTTTTTAAAAGCACAAATCTAAATTATTTGATAACCAGCTTGCTTAAAGCTTTGACCTAATGTTACATTTTAGAAACTGTGAGGCTATAATCCAAAAAAGGACTATGCATAGTCTTCTCAAACACCTCTGTTATTAGACCACATCCTCAAAAAGAAAGTACCAGGATGATTATATTACCATCAGGCCTGATGGCTTGCCTTTAGGTAACATGGAAATTTTGTCAGGTATATTTAGGCCACTTGAATTCTATCCTAAATAGATGTTTTCTAAGAAACTTCAAATGTTTTCTATCCCTGAATGCACAACCACTATCTTTTGCAGTTGTTTGAAGCACAGCACCTTTGGAATAAACACCAATAAAGGTCAGATGCTTGGGTTTCTACTAATATAATCAGATTTCCACAGTCATTGGGGTTAGAGGTACAGGGTGCCCAAGAAAGACATTGCTATTTTTTTTTTTACCTGAAGGAACACCTCTCTAGAAATTTCTAAATCTTCCAGCATGACTCCATGGTTGATTTCCACTGGAAGCTGACCAAATAATTTCACTGAAGGACCTAGAGATCACTAGGTTATCAAGCAGGAACAGAGGATGTTGATCATAGAGTCACAATGGAGGATCTAGAGATTCCTAGTGGGAACATTTTAATTAAATCTTTGAATCATCAAATCTGAAAAGTTAAAACTGCAAATGTGGAGAGGTAAGTGTAGTTGACTCCTTTTTTATTACATTTACAGAGAAGGAAACTTTGTTTTTGTTTCAGTCCATTATAGTGTGCCAATAACAATCACCAATGTTGCTATAGATCCAGGGAGGTTCTGCAACATGGCACCTTCTGGATGCTTTTGGGCTACAATTCCAAAAAGTTCTGACCATTGGTAATATTAACTGGTGTATATGGAAATTATAGTTCAGCATGTCTAGTGTTTCTTGTTTTAAGTTATAGTTTTCTTATTTATGTTTGTAAGCAGCTCCTCATCAAAAAGTGGTTTTCTAGCTACTTAAAATACTTGGACAGATGCAAATATTTATTATATAACCTAGCACTTACCACCGTTTCTTAAAAATAGAAAATAATACAACTGATTCAAAAGGTTTCTGTTGGAAGCAGAATATTTTCTCTCTCTGAATATACAGTTAGCCAATAGGACAATGCAGTAGTTGACTGGGAGATATTTTAGGTGTGACTGATTTTCAAGCATACTCAGAGGGAACATGGGCTCTTTTGTCATTTAATGAGGGGAAATCCTTCCTCTTTAGTATCACAATGGCTTTTGAAACTTTTTCCACTTTGGAAAGGTGGGGAAATGATGCTCAAGAAATATGGCCTAATGTACAGAAAAGTCACTCTTGTAATAAATAAGAGAATGTAGCTCTTTAGCATTTTGTATTGGTAACATCTTTCAAAGAAAAAATGTAGTTTACTTCTGATGACTATATTACCTTGTTGGTTAACAGCTGGCATACTTGGGGCACATAATCAATGAGGCAGCCACCACCTGGAAAAGCAGGTATATGAAGGGCAGAAGATCCTCCAAGAGCACTAGAAAGACACATCAATTTAATATTAGATACCGATTCTGTGATTCTTATTAAACCTTTTTCTTTTCCAAATGTCTTATTTATTAAGAATAATGATTTCTCTAAATATATAAATATGTGAGTACAAAGAAGTTAATATTATATAGCCCTATTATATTACATTTATATCACAAATATAGAAGGATGTACATTTTCATTATTTCAATAGGACTACATGATGGTTTAGTCACTCTTGAAACTATGTTCAGTGACGAAGATTACTATCTAATTCTGGGCAAGTTTCTCAAACAAAACATCTAATATATAGGTGTTATGAAGATAAAATTTGTATGAATGTATATTTTAAAAAATCTATCATGATATGACACCAAAGAATTTGAAAAAATTATTGCACATTATATTTTGCAATAGACTGAATCTTGAATGTGTATGCCAATCAACTGTCAATTTTAATGAAGTGGTTCAAAAAGGAAAACACTTTCAGTTTTCTATCTACAGTGCTGATCAACACACACCAGCACTCTAAATGTCATGATCCAGTCCTTCTGTTTGCAGCTCATAAACAATACTTTCTCAAGCTTTAATCATACTGCTGTAAAATGCATGCCTTAGTCAGTGGCCTATTAAAAAAAAGAAGTAAAACAATGATAATATTAATTATTAAGCACCCATAGGTCAAGTGCAATGGAATACATGCATTGGATCTCATGGATTCTGTGATCAAGTGTGTCTCTCTTTTCCTATAACACCATATGTGCACCCCCATAAATCCGTTCCAGAGTGGAATTTTAAAAAAGAAAAATCTTGATCTAATTTTCTCAGACATTTCAACCTCAAATGTCTTAGAAGTATAGGCAATGCTATTCGTTTCACTCAAAACACAATCTTCCAGACTGGCCATATTTTAATTTTCAAACAGTCTTGAAGGTCATGAAAACAGTAGCAAAATAAGCAGGCAATAGGTTCACTATTTTCTTCCATTGCACCTAACTCTTTGTTATAAAATACCTTCAGCAGGGACACTAGAATTCTGGATTTCTGGTTGTCTTGAGCAACATACAGCGTTCAGCAAATTCCATTTAATACAATGTTCCAAGAAATAAATATGTTCTAAGGCAATGAAAAAAATTAGTGAGGGGGAATCAGATATTATATATAGTATATATAAAATTCCATGGCCTCTTCTTTTGAAATCAGCAGCTAATAGCTAAAAAGTAAGCAATTTTAGTTGAAGGTAAGGGTCTTCACTACTTAAAACACAAGGTACAATACTTGCAAGAACAAGGAAATAACACCAATATATTTAAAGAAAGAATGCAGTATTATAACAGTGCTTCTTAACCTGAGGATTGGGACCCGGGGGGGGGGGGTCACGAGGGGGCATTCGAGGGGCCACCAACAACCATCAGAAAATATATATTTCTGATGGTCCTCTTTGGCAGAAAAGGCCAAATTAGGTTCAATTCCATCGTTGGTGGACTTCAGAATGCTCTTTGATAGTAGATGAACTATAAATCTCAACAACTACAACTCCCAAATGACAAAATCAATCCCCACCCCCACCCCACCAGTACTCAAATTTGGGTGTATCCGGTATTTGTAAATTGCCTCGAGTCACCTCCAGGCTGAGAGGGGTGGTATACAAATATAGTGAATAAATAAATAAATTTGTGCCAAATTTGGTTCAGTGAATGAAAATAAATCCTGCATATCAGAGATTTACATGACAATTCATAACAGTAGCAAAATTACAGTTATGAAGTAGCAACAAAAATAATTTTATGGTTGGGGGCCACCACAACATGAGAAACTGTATTTTGGTAGTTCTCAACCTGTGGGTCCCCAGATGTTTTGGTCTTCAACTCCCAGAAACCCTAATAGCTGGTAAACTGGTCTAGATTTCTGGGAGTTGTAGGCCAAAAGACCCAGGGACGCACAGGTTGAGAACCACTGGATTAGATGGTTGAAAGTTTAATGCTAAAGAATGGAAAACCCATGGTCAAGACAATCCTTAGCTATAGTTGCTGCAACGTTAAGGGAAGTCTGTGACCTTCAATGGAAGGCAAAGGCAAACCTGTTCTGAGCAAGTACTGCCCAGAAAAGTGTGTTCAATCCTATTAGTGCCAGCTCTTACTTTGTTAAATAGTGCTATCAATAGACTTGAGAAATACCAAGATTAGCAAAAGAAGCATGCCCATGCAAGGCAACTAAAGGGAAGACCATTATCTCCTCCCGAAAATACAGTCTAGTAAGGATTGAGCATGGGATTCAGAATGATCTGGAAAACCGTGAGGAAAGGAAAAGAGAAACAGCATTCTATACTGTTTTGTGACAGGTCTGATTTTGCGACATGTCCCATTTATTGCACATTGTGCCTTTCAGCAATTTGTTCAGGATAAGTGTAATTTCTGATGAATATTTCTTTTTAAAAAATTATTGTTGACAGCACTGGTAAATATAGCAGTAGTTTAAAAAGACTAACCAAAAATAATAAAGGACAAATCAATTCTTAACTAAAGAACAGAACAAAACGAAGAAACATTATCTCCAAGCAATCCTTCTCTCCACAGTTTTGCTGCTGGATATAGAGAGAAAATGCTCTTTCTGGGGTATCTGTAGGCAAGAGAAGAGCCTTAAAAATTAGGCATGGCAACCCGACAGGAAATGATACAAACATCTATGTTTGAGGATGGACTACACTGCCAATTCCAACTGAGAAAATATGCAATATTTCTGGTCAAATGAGCAGGAAATGGTCCATCAGAGGTTACTTATTTTGTTTACAGGCAGTGGGTCAAAGGAAATACAGATTTCCATTATCTCAGTAAGATTAAATATCCAAACTACGTTTTCCACAAAGTAAACTAACTTGTAAGTAGTTGTAAAAATATGATAAACGAAAATCTTTTCTGAAGGATGCCATTAATTCGCTCGGTGAGCTGTAATGTCATACCCTCAATCACATTTCTTTGATTTTCACCTTTCTATACTATCATTCCATTTTCCATTTAATCTTTGGGTCTCTAAAACAAATCCAGTCATTTTGCTTTTCTAAGAAAAAAAGCACTCGACATAAATCATTTTCCCGCAACTTTATTTGCTCACTGGTTTAAGACAGACTTATATTCGTGGTTATTTTTCACTACATGCTTTAAATCTCAACAAATAAAAAAATTCCTAAGAGGGATAAGATCTAAAACAACATCTAAGTCACAGTTCCTACTGGATTAAATTTCATTCCATTCAACTGTTTTCACAGAGGAAAAAAAGAGCAAAAAAGCCAGATGATGATGGAAATCTTTTACTTGCATTTATTGCAGAAACTGAGAACAGTGAGGCTTGATTTTGTGAACCTCAAGCATGATAAAATAACATTTTAGTGATTCACTGAGAGATCCTTGGGTACTTTTTATACTTTAGACATAATGTCGTTCAGTGGATTATTTTAGATGATATAATGGCTCATCCATATGAACATATGGAGGGTCAATATGGTATAGTGGAAACTACTGAATTCGGACTAGGACACTGTGGGTTCAAAGGTTGCATTATATGACTACCCAGTGTGGGATCTCTAATCATTCATATAATGCACCATGAGTTTCCTTACATGACTAGAAAGCCAGTGTGAGATCTCTAATCAGATCAAAATAGGGGCTGCCGGAATATAATATGCCTCACAAACTGGTTTCTAAAACATCACTCTAAAACTGGAAAAACTGTATAAAGATGTGGTCAGGAACAGCTGATCAGTACTTCAATGTTGTACACATTTAACATTGATTGTGAGCTAGTGTGCTGTTGTAGTTTAGATGTTGGACCGCGAAATAAGGACCTCAGAAAAGTTTTAGAGGAGGGTTATGACCAATCTCCTCTGACTAAATCTTGTCAAAAAGTTTCCAAGCTAAAAAAAAGGGAATGTTGGACAAATCATTCCCTCTACTGAGAAAAACCTTGAAAATTGCACTCTAAAAGCTTTAGGGGAAAAATAAGATAGAAGATGCATGGCACACACTTGCAACTCTGCATTGTTAGTAATCATCACCCTTCCTCTTCACTTACAGCGTTTGTGCCTGTCAAAATGTAATGCTTCAAAAGAATTCAAGGTCCAGGAACTTGATATTTGTTTGGTGAAAAAAAAAACACTTGATATTCAATATTCATTCGGAGGAGTTTGCCACCATTAACTCCACTGAAATCTATAGCTTTCCCAACAAATGATTATTTGCACAAGGCAAGCTGTTTTTCTGTTTTGTATTACAGGAATAGTGGTAAAGCCATTCTGGTAATGTACGAACTTCTAAGAACAAAGGCAGGCAGCCTTTGGGATACTATGAGAAAATCAGTTGTCTCTCCATTAAGGATAAGGCAGCTCTTCTCCAACATAATGCTCTCAAGATATTTTGAATGACAACACTCCCAAACTCTAATTGTTGGCCTTTCGCCCCAAAACTTAGCAGGTTAATCCTATAGCATCTTTAGGTGAATCTAGGAAAGACCACAGTCTTAAAACCCAGGAGACTTGCATGGAACATTTTAGCTCCATATAAGGAAGCTTGCTATGGTTGGATGACTAGTCAAAGCAGGGTGATTAGAATGGCAAACTGTTGCAGACAAATTGTGGAAATGGGCAGAACCCTTGAGTCTGAGGGATCCCACCCACTCTTGGAAATATCAGCTTTTCTTTCCACAGCATCAGCAATAGGAAGCACAGGCATATGAGGTCATCCTGCATGTCTTGGAGATGGAATAAATAGGTAGGCTTTTCTTTAACTACACAACAATGTTTTATGTTTATTCCATGCAGGGAATTGAGTCAGAATTTGCAATTAGATCCTGCAATTAGAAAACCCACTTTACTGTATATAATGACCTACAGGCATAGGTATGACCATGTATAGGTACTATCATGAGTTACATGGGTATAGAGGCAGTGATAATAATAAATATTCTACATACTAAAAAGGAAGACGTGAAGAAAACATTGTGTACTTGTAAACC